TAAACTCCTTGATGAGGACTGTGTTTATTTTTTTTTCACTTCTGTATCCATAACAGTGGACAAGACATAGAATGTGGTCCCTTAAATATTATGCACAGGAATAGCTGAATGTCCATAACATACAGCTAAGAGTAGTATGTTACTTCCAATTCTTACTTCTGCCACTTTTTGCAGTGTTACTCTGGACAAGTTGCTTAAGCTCTCTTGAGGCTTATTTTCCCCACCTAAAATATGGGTATTCCATAGTTATGCTATTGTAATGTACTGAATTGTGTCTCCTGCTCCTCCCATCACCCCTGAATTCATATGTTTAAGCCCCAACCCTCCATGTGACTGAATTTGGAAACTGGCTCCCTTTTTGGAGATAATTGTGGTTAAATGTGGCCATAAGGATGGGGCCTTAATCTGATAGAACTGGTGTCCTTATAAGAAGAGAAAGAGACACTAGAATTCACTCATGCTCACTTTCTCTCTCCACATGTGCACAGAAGAAAGGCTATGTGGACACTTGGTAGGACGATGGCCATCTGCTAACCAAGAAGAGATCCCTCATCAGAAATCAAATTTACCAGCACTCTGATCACAAACTTCTAGCCTCCACAACTGTGAGAAAATAAATTCCTGTTTTTTAAGATATTCAATCTGTGATAATTTGTTTTGGCAGCCTGAGCAAACTAATATAGTCATATAGTCATAGAGTCATTATGAGACAAATAAGTTTTGCAGATACTTAAAAAAATATATAACCTAATAATTAACATTGGTTAATTTATAAGATAAAGAATAAATCCAAAGTATGGAGTAGCAAAATCTTCCAGGAATATCCTAGATATTCTCTTATGTCTGAAGAAATCTTGCAAACTTCCATTGCTTCTCTGAGAGGAAAAGAATTATTTGACACTTGAAACAGAGATGCTAATCATATCAATAGCATTCTGTGGCTTCCTTCGCAAATGACCCTAGTCCATGTACTGGGACTAATGTGTGTTATGGTGACATCACAGTTCTTCCAGGAGCTGGAGATTCTTCCTATCCTGAAACCTAGGACTTAAGCTATTTACAGTGATGGTTTCCTTGCCAGGGTGCATGAGGATAAAAGCAGCAATAGCTACAGCTGCAGACCATTCAACTAGCCAGGCTCCTAGAGCTGAACCCGTATATTCCCAACCCTATCCAGATTCATCCACATACTCTGTTACTAGTTCTTGACTCTCCACCTGACATCTACTTTTGATTCTTTGCTTGACCTGACGCACTTTGGCTCATTACACACAAGACTCTGCCTCAGATTCAGCTCTCCTGACTTCTTGATTGAGTATTTCCCAGTTAAACCCATCTGCCAATACTTTCCCTCAACCAGAGTTGAAGTCTGATTTTTCCCTTCTCAACAATGCCCTCTTCAATTTTTGTCTCCTTTCTTCCTTTTGGCCCCTTTCTTGTAACTGCAGCTCAGCCTCAGGCTTTGGAACAATTCACTCCCAACAGGAAGGGTTTATTCACATCTCAAGAGATTCTTCGTGAACCATTTGCTGTTCTAACCCTGTCCTTATGACCCGCCGGGTTCTCCTAAGAAGTTCTTCTCTGTTTCTTTGTGATAATTCATTCTATAACTAGAACACTGTGGTTGTACTTTGACCTATATTTGGACTATCATCATCTTCATAACCCGTCAGTTGCCCCTGTGTTGTCATGTTGAAGGTCAAATTCCCTGACCCTGTCTTGTATGAACACGTGCCCTAAGACTGGGTCCTGAGAGATTTTCCAGCTGCTGAACATCTGGTATCCCGCATGTTGCCAGCTTCTAGATTCCTTCTCTCTGTGCTCTGTCCATACCTAATCAGGATATTGTGAAAGACTCCCAGATGGTCTGCCCCAGATCACGGCTCTTCCATTCTGCCTTAACCCTCCTGCTAAGCTGTGCCATGCATTCTCTCAATCTGCCTGCAGGAGACACACTCTCACACGACTAAGGAGCCCAGCTCTGACTCTGGCTTAGGTAACACAATGCAAAAGAAGAGGAGAGGTTAAAAACTTCTTACGAGAGTATGTTCCTTTCTTTTTTTTTTTTAAACTTTCTTCTTTACCTCTTTCTATATGGCACTTTCTTGCTTTTGTTCTCTTGAAGACTGCTCCATTCCATATGATGGAACCTCTCCCTCAAGGTGACTCACCCGCTTTTGAAAGCCAGACGAAGACTACAATAGGGTTTATAGAAAGAAGACAGTGAAGGCTTCTGAGAGTCAGGTAGTAAGGAGGCCAGATAAGGATTGGAGCCCAATTTATTTCTGGGGAGGGCGGGGAATGAAAAAGGATGTGTGTGTGCAAGAAGTATTCCTCTGCATATGAGATATGACTCCAATGATTGATAAGAATTTTTAATCAGTTGTCATGAAAATTTTATTTCTCTTCTCCTTTGTTCTTTGTGAGAGATATGATTAATTCTACTGTGTGCATATCTTCCTTGTAGCCTTGACTCTGCATGTCCAATACCACACTGACATAGTCACTTCCCCACCTGTGTAGGTACGGAGGCATTGCTATACCTTCATAATATCCTGTTCTCTGATACATGCAAAGAGATGGGCACATGGGACACACAGCATTATTTTATCAATATTACATTAAAGAATTGTATTCTCCAAATTGAAGTTGAAACATTGAAATCTGAAGACAATTCTCATTTGAGTTATGAGTGATGTCATATTTTTCTTATTGGTCAAATTTCTTTATACAGTGACTTACTTCAATAACAATAACATCAACAATTCAACCAAAGAAAATAGATTTGCTTGAACCTAGACTGTTAAATATTTCTTAATCAATTATTTTATGTGTGTGTTAGAGTTGGGCTTCCACAAAGAATGGAGGATATCTCCATTCTCTTGCAGAAAACTTGAGCACACATAAAAATATAAATACCATTCAGACATGCTTCCAATGCCTCACTGAAGAATAATAGCTTGCTAATGAAAAGAGTCCCTGTTCTAGGAAAATGAGGAAGATGTCTGAGAGGAGCAGTGAGCTGTGTGACAGATGGGTCTAACAGACAAACACCACAGGCAAGACCTGGAGACCTGGAACAATGGAGCCAGCACACAAGGTCACAGGGTTCAAGGACAAGCTCTGAGTGTGTCATATGCAGAACTTGCCAAGTGGGGTTAAATAAACCCTTGCAGAAAATATGTAACCTCGTACTGAATGAGAAGCTCTGTCTCTTTCCCTGGATGTCAAATTTAGATGCTATGTGTTGATTTCTTAATAGTTAGGTTCAGGTTTTGAAATTTGCTCTGAAATTTGGGACATAGACACTTTAAAGAGGAAAAAGACGTGAATCATAGAAAGTACCTATGACCAAATGTTTGAGACTCACTAGTTACTATTGTTTAAAGATTCCATCACACACCCAATTTTTGTAGAAGAAAGTAATGGGTACACTAGCTCAATATTTGGTATATGGTAGGTGACTAGTATATCTGTGATGATTGAATGGATTCATGAAAGTAAAAGAGAGAAATCAAGAGGAAGGGGGAAAGACGGAGAAGGAAGAGGGAAAAAGAAAGGAATAAGGAGAAGACAGAAAAGAAGTAGGTTCTCTGGGTCCCAGCAGCCATGCTGTTGTCACTTGTGGGCCTTGAGCTGGCTAGTATTTTCCTGGCTTCAAAGTCTACATACCTAACAAATGTCTTTCTTTACTGAGATGATTGTCTAATATATTATGAGCTATTTGCTGAAGAGTGCAGCACATCTCTGTGAGACCTGAAAGAAGGTAAAGATGTAGTCCCTGCTTCTATGGACATGATCTATTACTAATACAAAAGAGCCAGATAATAGTTTTAAAACAACATCTGCAACATTTATATGCTAATGATATTTAGCTATCTCACCCATATTTCTTGTGTTTCCTCTTCCCAAAATATTCTGCCATATTCAATCCCTCTCACATATCCTTGAAGCCTACACTCAGATTCCATTTCCTTCTGGAGCCCTCCCTGGTCACCTTAGACACTCTCATCTGCTGTCTCAAAATGCTGTACCTAAGTGTCTCATTCTTCCTTCCTTTATTTCTTTATTAATTGCCACTTTTTTTATTTTAGTCATGTGTATGCTTGTTTTTAACACCGAATTTCTTTCAGAACTTAACTATTTATAGTAGACATGAGCTGTTAACTGAATGGGTGAAACAATGGTGAAAAATTTCCTTGACTTTATTAAACATACTCCTGATAGGGTTCAATGTGGATCTAATTGAGTAATTGTTGTCATACCCCAGGAATAAACTGTAGGCACAGGGCAGACTCCCCTAGGGGAGCAGGCCTGCCTCCTTGGCCCTCCTTAAGCCGCCTTGTCTTGGGCAGGGATCCGTTTTATCTGTGACTGACCCCTGAAGCTCATCAAGAAACCTGGCCTCAAACTCCAATTTCCCTCTGCCCTCTCTTATCGCCCTAGTTAAAACCCTTCTTTGGTTCCTTTTAGTGAATAGAATGAAGTCTAGCACCTACCATGTAATATAAGCCCTTTACAATCTGACTCAACTTATATTTCAAGGCACATCTCCCTTCATGACCCCCTTTTCTCACCCTCATCCTATGCCCCAGACTTACAGACCTTGCCATACCTAGAATATTCTCTTTCATACCTCCAGGTTATTTCTTCTTTCTTTAGACTCCAAATGTACAGCTAGGCACTAGGACTGAAGGCCAAATTGTATCATAAAGGAATTTATTTCTCTTTTAAAACTTCCTCAGACCTTCCATTCTCTCTTGAAGATATATAAACTTGCTAGTGTGACATATAAGATTGGTCCTGCTAGACTTTGTAGTTCTATATCCAGCCTCTCTGCCACTGGCACCAGCATTCTCCTGAATTCTCTCCTGCCTGAACAATTTCTTCATTGTTCTGCTCTGAACTCAGCCCCCACACAGGAGAGCATCTCAGCTTTGCCTGAGGCCTGGTTGGGGACTATTTCCTTGTGCCTAGTCAGTTCCCTTCCCAGTGCTTACCTCCAACCTTGCTTGGGCCTTGGTGGTAATTGTTCCATGGCCCAAGGAGATCCTTAGTATCCAAACTATGATGTGGATTTGGCTTCTGTGGCTGTTTTATAAAGACTCCATAATAAAGCTAACATCAGAGACCAGTCTACAAAGTGAGAGTCCTAAAACATAGAGTGGAATTCAAGAAACAGCATTAAGCAATCCGTATCCTCATGAGTGCATAGACCCCAGACCCCAGGACATCCCCTCTTTCTAAACAGAAAAGCAGCTATAATCTACTTTGGCATTTCTCACTTTATTTGATAAACAAATCATTTTAAGTATCTTTTGTACAGTAGTTAATGAAGATTCTGAGATGAATAAAAAAAATTCCCTGCTTTTAAATTTCCTTCTGTCTGGTAGAGGAGAAAGAGGTGCATAAATTATTTACAATAACAATTACAGGTACATAAAAAGTGCCACAAGAACTTAGAAAAGAGAATAATTAATTTAACATAAAATGGATATTGAAGTCATCAAAATGCAGTAGCAATGGAGTAAGGCTTGGGCACAGATACACAACAGTTACTGGGTCTTTAAGGATGTATTGAAGTTCCAGATGCAGAAAGGAAAAGATAGAGCACTCCAGGTAAAGATAAGATTCTGAGAAAAGGAATGGATGCATGTTCAGGGAATTACCAATAGCTTCATGTGCCTGAACCTTAGGTAAATGAATAAAACCTGTGAATGTCTGTAGATGAGGCTTGCGAAATACACAGCATGTTGTCACTCTGAGGATTTCTTATTTTATCCTGGAAATTAAGGGAAATGCAAATTTTAGAAAATCAAATGACATTTTAATATTTCAATTCCAAAAGCTTATTTTTAGCAGCAAAATGGAGAAAGGATTGGAGGAGGGCTAGAGAAAAAGAATAATACCATTAGCTGGCTTTTAATCTGACCAAGTTTAAATATTATAAGGATTGGTGCAAGTTGGCACTACCTGTGAGATTTACCCCTAAACTAAATAAAAATTGAAGATCCTGGGGTTGGAGAGGTCTTTATGTGCTTCAGGTGCATTCATTAGCAAGTGATGACATTTTCGTATCAAATCAATGATACAGGGACAGGGATAATCACTGAATACTTTGAGAAAACAAAAAGCATATTTAAAAAAGGCATCAGGCAAAAAACTAAGAGTTTGCTGAAAAGGCAAAGAGGAAAAAGTAACTTTACATGTAATTGACACCCTCAAAGGGAAGAGAATGATGTGAAAGAAATTCAACTATAGTTGTTATTGAATAACTGAACCCACACAATTAGTGAACTTGTAAGAATTTTCAAAAGGAATCTCACAGATGGTACAGAAATAAAGCCAAAATATAGAATATTTAAAAGAAATGCTAAGAAATGCCTATGGCAAATCTAACCATACCAACATCATCCAGAGACAGCGGAATGAAATGGAATACTCAGATAAATAATTGAAGAATATTCCCTACACATAAAAAAGATGAAATCTTTATGTTGAAGGATCTCACCCCGTGCTGAGCCACATAACCTAAAAGACTAACATCTAAACACATCAGGATGGAATTTCAAACCACAAAGAACAAACTCACATATCCATTTGGATGTCTAATAAACATCTAAAATTCATATCAAGAAAATGTATATCCGAAGCTGACCTTCTGTGCTCTTCCTACCACCTCGCAGACATATACATAAACTTGTTCCTTGTAAAGTCCTCCCAGCCTCAGGCAACACTAACTCCCTTTTCCAGTTGCTTAAGCGAGAAACCTTAGAGTCAATTATTGATTTCTCTTTTCCTCCCAAAATTCACCTCCAGTCCTTTAGTGACTCCCATTCTTTCTCCTCCAAAATAATCCACATACGATTGCTGGACCAGGTTTTTTTCAATGAATAACATTTCTGGGACAAATGTGAAGCGTCTATAGGCTAAGGAATAGAATTGCATCTATGTTATTTTCCTGACTTTGGTTGTTGTATGTAGTTATATACGAGAATGTCTTGTTCTTAGGAAATATTTACTGCATATGATTTGCATGTCGATGGTACTTTGTACTATTTTTAAGGATGTTTTTAGGAGTTTAAAATTGTTCCCAAGTAAGAAATTACAAAAAATAAATTAAATCTAAGGTATTTCTATTCTTCACCACTTACATTGTAACAACTGTGATTCAAGTCATATCTCACTGGGACTATTACTACCAACTCATGAATTTTCCCTTCTTTTACTCTTGGCTCCCCTTTCGTCTATTCCCAATTCATGTCCCTTGAAAAATACATTTTTCAAGATGTAAGTCAGAAGATGTCATTCCTCTTATCACAATCCTCTAATGGCTCCTTACTTTACTCAGTCAGATCAAAATTAGAAAATGGTCTTTTAGGCCCTACAGAATTTAAACCATCCTCCCTAACTCTGCCTCTTTGATCTTATCTCCTGTCATTCTCTTTCATTGGTATATTCCAACTAAACATAATAATTCCTTGCTTTTCCTCAAACATCCCTGACATCAGGATGCTGGCTCATGTGGCTTCCTCTTCAGTAATGTTCTTTCCCCAAATATTTGCGCAGCTTACTTCTTCACCCCCTTCACATCTGGGAAAGGCCATTCCAGTGATTCCCTTCCTGGCCTTCATATTTAAATGCCCACATTGAGCCACTTCCACCCAGCACACTGCATCCCCTTTTTCCAATTTACTATTCTCCACAGCACTTATCACTGACCTGCCATGTTTTACTTGTCTTCTTGCTCCCTACACTAGAATTCAGATTCCTTAAGGATATGGAATTCTATTTTGTTCACTCTTTTTTAAACTCCAACAGCTTGCATAGTGCTTTGCACATAATAGCTTCTTAATAAATAATAATTCAGTGACTGAAACCAAACATCCTAAAAGTTCCCACAGAGGAGAAAAGAAGAGATCACCTACAAAAGAATTAGAAATAAGTCAGCATCAGACTTTTGACATATTGAAAGCTGGAAAAAAAAATCTGTAGAGTTTTACAAGGTGATTTTGAATTTAGAATTCTGCCTTCAACCAAACCTGTATTCCAGAGGGAGAGAAGAGTAAAAGCATTTTCTGATACATGAACATGAGTACTCAGAAAGTTTACCTGCATTAGATCCCCTGAATTATTAATATGTATTTCAGCAAAATGAAAAAGGATATATAAGGTACCAAAAATATAGTAATGAACCAAAATGTAAGTGAAACACAACTACAATGTTATCACAAAAAACTAAAATATTCAATGGTTTTAACATGGTGGGAGTGGGGAAAATAAAAGAAATTATATGTTAAGATTTTTGTCTTGTTGGAGAAGAGATTAAAGGTATATCTAGAGAAACCAAACAATATGAGTTTAAGTTATTGATAAAAATTTAACAATGACCAACAATGACCACTGGACAAATAGAAGCTGATATGGCTTATATATTGTAAGAAGGAAAAATGGAATCCAGTAAAACCAGTAATTCCAAGCGAAGTCAGGAAAGAAAAAAAAAAGCAAAACAGAAAATAAGCAATAAAACTTTGTGAAGAGACAAATTTAAAAAGGAAACTATAAGTCTAGACATCTGAAATCATAATATACACTATTTTATTGTTCCTTCCTCCACTTACAAAAAAGAGGAATTGTGTACAACCCTGGATATGCTAAAAACCACTGAACTGTACCCTTTAAAGCAGTGAGTTTTATGGTATATGGAGCACATCTCAATAGAGCCTGCTGCCCTGTGCTCAGGAATCCCTGGGTGAGCAGCTGCAGTACGGTCCTCTCGCAGGAGTCCCAGGCTCCAGTCACACCGTGCCTCTCCTCTAACTGCGTTTTGCCTGCTTCCTGGTTCCTGTCCCAGCGCCCTCTGGGTCTTGAGCCTCCCTGAATCCTATCCATCTCCCCTCCTCAGTCTGACATTTCTTTCTTCACTCCATGCCCTCACATTAGTTAGAGGTAGCTTTCTGATCAATGACCTATCAAAGACTCGCCAACCCCTCAATTATTGGCTCCAGACTGACTCTGAAGTTCTCTTGGGCCTACTTCTGTTATTTCTGCCAGCCCCTGATTCCACAGCCTGCTCCTGCTTCCCATCATCCTTGCCTTAATTTCTAAGATAATCCCTGGAAAGACAGAAGTTTTGCCTTATGCTCTCATTCCTTCACCTCTTCCCTTCAAAGTTATCCCTGCCCCGTCCCACAGGGGCAGAAGCGGCCGGCAGAAATCCACAGAGTAGGAGGAAGTGCCACTAATTTTCTCACCGTCCCAAATCTAATCCTCAGCCCTGACTTCCTTGGTCTGCTGCCCAGCCGCCTTTGAACTGCATATGCTAGCTGTGGCTGAGTGAACACCAAGACTAGGCACTTCGGGCTCTTCTGACAGCGGTGACGTGGGACTCATAGATGTGTGTGGCAAAGGGTAAGGTTCAATGTTTTTGAAGAGAGGAACTAAGCTGCCAGGAGCATTTTGGCCCTCTGTACAGGAAGGTAAGGGCCAGTTTTACCATTATGAACACCAGGTGGGATCCATGTTAGAGTTATAACAGTTAGAAGAAGCCACCATTGGATATGCCAGGTATCCAAACATGTGTCAGACACTTCTTGGCAGACTGTTGTACAGAAAGCTCACTGAATTTGATAGTCAAACAAGATGACCAATTCTAAGACAGCAAACTTTGGAAGGTTTGTTAAACAATATTAGCTGTTCATATACCTGTATCTCCATTATAGCCTGAACATGTCAATCAGCAAATATACAACCTCTGGGTAGACTTTGATTATCTAGTCCTAGTTGTTTCAAGATGTCCTTAATCTACTTAGCTTTTGGGGGGAAGAGAGGTGACAGTAAAAGATATATTTGTATTTCTTTTTAATTGATTCTGTTTAGGCCATATACTTTAGACAAAAGAAACATAGCTTTTCCCTTTCATAGATTTGAAAGCAGCACTTGTATTTCTCACAAGGCCTCAATACATATTTTCTGGACCAAATTCTCTGCTGACATTTATTATGTGCTCAAGAAATGATGTGAATTTTCGCTAATTATCAGGGAAATGCAAATTAGAACCACAATGAGATATCACCTCACACCAGTTAGGATGGCCAACATCCAAAAGAAAAGGAACAACAAATGCTGGTGAGGATGCAGAGAAAGGGGAACCCTCCTACACTGTTGGTGGGAATGTAAATTAGTTCAACTATTGTGGAAAGCAGTTTGGAGGTCCCTCAAAAAACTAAAAATAGAAATACCATTTGATCCTGGAATTCCACTCCTAGAAATTTACCCGAAGAAAACAAGATGCCTGATTCAAAAAGACATATGGATCCCTGTATTTATTACAGTACCATTTCAATAGCCAAGACACAGAAGCAACGGAAATGTCCATCAGTAGATGAATGGATAAAGAAGATGTGGTACATATATACAATGGAATATTATTCAGCCATAAGAAGAAAACAAATCCTACCATTTGCAGCAACATGGGTGGAGCTAGAGGGTATTATGCTCAGTGAAATAAGCCAGGCGGAGAAAGACAAGTACCAAATGATTTCACTCATCTGTGGAGTATAAGAACAAAGAAAAAAATGAAGTAACAAAACAGCAGCAGAATCACAGAACCCAAGAATGGACTAGTGGTTACCAAAGGGAAGGAGCTGAGGAGGGTAGGTGGGGAGGGAGGGAGGTAGAAGGGGATTAAGGGGCATTATGATTAGCACACATAAGGTAGGTAGGTCATGGGGAAGGCAGTATCACACAGAGAAGACAAGTAGTGACTCTACAGCATCTTACTAT